GATGGGAATGAAACAAATTGGGGGTGGGCACAGTGACCGTATTAGAAAGTCAGGTGGGGGAGCCGTATAAGCTAGTTTTGGTCACAACCTGAAATGTCCGTATTAGCAGAATGCCATAAGGCGGGTCCTACTGTATATATATGCTTGCACATGCATGTGTAGCATGACCTAAGTGTAAGTAAAGTAGGAAGATGTATCTGAAATCTTGCATGCTTATGAGACAGAAAAAAGACACCAGCAATCCTACCATCCATAACTACAGCATCCTTTAATTAATCCTCACTGTACTGTAGGTGTCTTACCTCTGTTTCTGAAAACTTTTTAGAGACTCCTCGTACCAGAGACTTGGCAGCTGCAAAGGGACAAGGAAGTGGCTGGTGAGGAAGAACTGCTGTTGTGCTTGGTAAAGTCCTTATCTTAGAAGTGAGCACTATGACTTCTTCACAATCTCCTAGAATCACTAGAGCTGACAACCAGCCAGAGATCAAGAGACCTTCGTATGCTGAACACATACTACTCATCAAGGACATACTGCCTGGTCGGTCTAAAAGTGATGATGTGTACTGTATGGTGCACCTATTTGAAGAAAAAATATCTATTACTATTGTAAAAACATAGATACAAGTTACACAACTACATGATGACCTTTTGAAACAATTTTTTTTTAACACACTGGCCGTCTCCCACCAAGATAGGGCGACCCAAAAAAGAAATACTTTCACCATCATTCACTTCATCATTGTCTTACCAGAGGCACACCGATACTAAAGTTCAGACGCCCCTTCAAACTGCAAATATCCCCACCTCTCCTTCAGAGTGCAAGCACAGCACTTGCCACTTCCAGGACTCTTAGTCCAGCTAACCAGTATTCCTGAATCACTTCACAAAATAATACCTTGCTCATACTCCAACAGCTCATCAAGTCTCAAAAACTATTTGTCTCCACCTATCTAACAAGCTCACACACACACACACTTGCTGGATGTCCAAGCCCCTCATAAACAAAACCTCCTTTACACCCTCTCTCCAACCTTTCCTAGGGAGACCCCCTACCTCACTTCCTCTCACCTACAGATTTATATACTCTCCAAGTCATCCTATTTATCCCCAACCTCTAAATATCCAAACCACCTCAACAACCCCTCCAAAAAAAACAAAAAAATTTACAACCAAATATACAAGTAAAAAAAGGAAGTGAAGAGATTAAAACTTTTAAAGGAAACTACTAACAGTGGGTTTACAGCCTCATTTGTTAGAAAATAAGTAAAGAGTCCTAAAGCTGCTTCTCTCAGTCCTGAAGTAGAGCTGCTGCTCTCCCGACCCAAACAGAAGGTAAGTGAAGCAGCCACTGATGCAAGAGCAGCTGGTGGTGTCAGAGTGGTTGCTTGAGATTTGATAAAGGTCCCAAATTCTTTCCAAATTACTTCAACAACTTCAGAGCCCATTCCTCCTCCTCCTGAAACAATAAAGACCTTAAAATAGTTTTAATACCATCACTCCCTAAAATTATTCATGAAACCTGCTAATTACATTTTCAAACAAACAGTAAATCAACAAGGGTAAAAACTGTAGAAATAATTAAGAGGTGTACTGCAAAACTGTGCTGTATTTATCTGTGCTTCTGAACAGATTACATGAGTGGGTTATGGCTGTATTTAGTGAAAAAAAAAGTTCTCCATAGATTATTTAAAAAAATAAAAATAGCTAATTTTTTATAAAATATTGAGGCAAGTGATGGTTTTTCAAGAAAAACGATGGGCATGAAAGAAATATTGGAATCTCATTAAAAGTTTAATGAGAAAGACCAAGAAATTGATAAAATAAAGATATGATATTTCAAGGTTACTAATTTTGATTTGTAAGATAAAGTATGAATAAAGGAGTAGTAATATAGAGAGATGCAGAAAATGAAGCTTTGTGTACAGTCTATAGAAATTTTATAGAGATAAAAAGAATGGCTATTCTAAGTAAATGGACAACACTTCATAACTGGTAATTAAAACAAGTATGGATATAACAAAATAAGAATGCAGTGGCAATATCTACATGAGATGAGTATGACAGTTTTTATTACTTAGTTCTCATAAAAAAAATTAAAAATTACATGTTACATGTACAGAAAATAATGTAAAATGAGGAAGAATGATATATGTCAGTAAGTGGCATATATCATTTACTAAGGAAAGAGGGGTAGGGGTCGTCCTCGAAAGGGTTGGAAAGAGGGGGTAAAGGAGGTTTTGTGGGTGAGGGGCTTGGACTTCCAGCAAGCGTGCATGAGCGTGTTAGATAGGAGTGAATGGAGATGAATGATACTTGGGACCTGACGATCTGTTGGAGTGTGAGCAGGGTAATATTTAGTGAAGGGATTCAGGGAAACCGGTTATTTTCATTTTAGTCGGACTTGATCCGGAAATGGGAAGTACAATGCCTGCACTTTAAAGGAGGGTTTTGGATATTGGCATTTAGAGGGATATGTTTGTATCTCTATACAGTAAAATGCTTCTAAACCTGTTGTATTCTGAGCACCTCGCAAAAGCAGTGATAATGTGTGAGTGTGGTGAAGTGTTGAATGATGATGAAAGTATTTCTTTTTGGGGATTTTCTTTTTTTTTTTTTTTGGTCACCTGCCTCGGTGGGAGACGGCCGACTTGTTGAAAAAAAAAAAAAAAAAAAAAGAAAAATGAAGAAACACTTTCTTCTTTTTTGAGTCACCCTTGGCCAGTGGAAACCCCAGTGTTAAATACACATATAATAGTTAATAAGGTAAAGACAAAATTTCTGTGAGGTAAGTTACTACTAATTTTTTTTTAACAACCAGCAAATCCACCAAGGCAGGGTACCAAAAAAAGAAAGAAACACTTTCACCATCACACACGTAATCACTGTCTCTGCAGAGTGCCAAGACAGTTTGATGCCACTCCAAACGCCAATACCAAAACGCAGGTATTGTCTTCCACCTCCAGACTCAAGTCCAGTTTCTTCTTTTATTTTTAGTAACTATACGGTAAAGGGTTACTAGCCCATTGCTCCACATTTAGTTGACTTTTACAACACACAGGGTTATGGAGGAAAAATCTATCCATTCCCATGATGTGAAAGGGAAAAAAGTAATAAGAACAATAACTATTAGGAAACAAAACAAAATCTGATGAGTGTATATACATAAATGTTGCAGACATGTGTGTGACCTAACTGTATAAAAGTAGCAAGATATACCTGTTACTTGTGTGTTATGAGACAAAAAAAAAGACATCAGCACCTTACCATCATGTAAAACAATACAGGTCTTACATCAATTGGCAGGACAGTAGTACTTCCCTGGGTAGTTGCTGTCTACTAACCAACTACATGAAATGACAAATAATATCTATTGTAATATATCTGTTGTACCTGAGTGCCTCTGCAAAAACAATGATTATGTATGAATGATGGTGAAAGTGTTGAATGATAGCGAAAGTTTTTTCTTTCTTTTTTGGGTTTTTCTTTCTTTTTGTGGGTCACCCTGCCTCGGTAGGAAAAGGTGGACGTGTTAAAATAAATATGTTGATGATAGCCTCCCTTCACTCTTCACTCTCCCTTTTTTCTCTCTTTTGCACTAAACTACTCTCACTACTTTCTACTACCACTATTTCTTCTACAACTACTTCTACTGACTACCACTACCACCACTACCTCTTCTTCTTCCTCTCTTGTTCCTGTCCCATTTCACGCTCACCTATATATAATGGCTTCCTCACTCTTTTGTGTTGTTGTGACTTTGTAAATGATCCAAGTTAGACCAAAACATCATCGTAAGCTCCTCTCTCCTATATGCAGGTTATTTGTGCATTGTTCCAGTCCTCATTTAATGAAAGAGTTCTGTTCCTAAGACCAAATCAGCAAATGAATTCATCACTAATCAAGGAGCATACTATAATGGTAGTGGGTCTATGTCAACCATCTTTGATATTATTTTAATGTCACCTTTGCTCCATTTATAACATTTTCAGTATGTTTTGAAATGTTTATACAGTAGTGTACTGTATATTGTAATAAACAGAAGAGAAGAAATAAGCTTTAACCCTTTCAGGGTCCGTCCCGTAGATCTACGGCTTTACAGTGAGTGTCCAAACCGTAGATCTACGCCATGAGCTCAGCTCACTCTGATAAACTGTGAGTGGTACATTTGGGCCTAGATATGAGAGAATACATCTATGTGGTATGTGTGCACCACGTAAAACAGATCCTGCAGCACACTGTGTATAATGAGAGAAAAAAACTGAAATCATGATTTTTCGATTAAAACAGCAACTTTGCAGTGTTTTTTCGTATGTTTTTTTTAGTTCTAAATTTTCGATTTCTTGGTCTCATTTGATAGAATGGAAGACATATTACAGAAATAAGATGATTTTTCATTGGTTTTAGCATGGAAATGGCTTGAAACTGAGCTCAAAGTAGTGGAAATGTTAATTTTGCCAATATTCAAAAGTAAACAAACGACCTCAAAACGTCTAATACACGTCAGCTGGTGGTCTAATATACATTCACAAATATGGTGATGATATTTATTTAATTATTACAGTATTGCATAACAGTAAATCTTCATTTTTTGGTGTGAATAAAAATTCATTATGTGAATAAAAAATCAAAAAGGAATTTAATTTGTAAAGCCTCAAAACATAACAATGAACCCGAGGAAATGTTAGTTTAGTGCCAGGAAATGCCTACATTGTTTATTCTGGACCCTATTTTGAAATGGAAAATTTGAACTTTGTGTTAAATAGGCCAAATTAAAAATTTTCCGATCACTTTATTTTGTAGTTGAAACAGTTGACTTTGGCGATTTCTTTGCTCAATCGATAGAATAGAAGTAAACTAGTGAAATAGCTAAGAATTTGGTTGATTGGAATAATGTAATTGGCCTAAAAAAGGGAGTCAAAGTCGGCAAAAAACGCCGATTCGTGAACATCGCTGACACATCAAAATTCGCAAGAGCATAATTTCATCAATTTTCCACCAAATTTCATACTTTTTGTTTTATTACCTTCACAAAAAGATTCTCTACAATTTCATAAGAAAAAATAACAAATTTTTTTTTTTAAAATTCTTGGACACTGGTGCGTGACTCCAGATTTGGGCCTTGGACCCTGAAAGGGTTAATATACATTATTTAGGTATGCACACTGGTCAGAGAGCCCGTTATAAGTTCAAGTTGTCAGTAAACGAGTACGTTGCTAAGTGAGGAGAGGCTGTACATGTTTTACAGAAAAACCCGTAAAGTTTATTCAGTTCAAGGAAACTACATATTTTTGTACATAGTTTATAGGGTACTTTAAAACAGCTGAGAAAAGGTTTACAATTCTGTAGTTGAATGGTAATAAAAAAATCAAAGTTTCTAGAACATGAATCCCACCAATTCCTTGAACTGTAGTACAGTACAGTAAACTATAAATCTACAGTAACATACAGTGATATCAGATGATTTTTTTTTTTTTTTTTCAACAAGTCGGTCGTCTCCCACCGAGGCAGGGTGACCCAAAAAAGAAAGAAAATCTCCAAAAAGAAAATACTTTCATCATCATTCAACACTTTCACCACACTTGCACATTATCATTGTTTTTGCAGAGGTGCTCAGAATACAACAGTTTAGAAGCATATACATATAAAGATACACAACATATCCCTCCAAACTGCCAATATCAGATGTATATACAGTAATTAAATACAGACTTGGCTTCAGATATCATTCTCATACTGACCTGCCAGGTACTGAGGCTTTGAAGAAATGTCAAGAACTTTGCTGAGGGCTGCATCCATGCACTAAGAAGGAGCTTTAGTTTCAACAATGCCAACATGTTGAAGGACACCACTCAAACCTCCACCTGAAAATATACAAGAACAATAACATTTTGAATCATGGATGAGAATATAAGAGAGAATTACTATGAAGATAGCAGTAAAAAAATTTTTTTCCAACAAACCGGCCGCATCCCACCAAGGCAGGGTGGCCCAAATGGAAAAACGAAAGTTTCTACTTTTAAATTTACTAACATATACAGGAGAAGGGGTTACTAACCCTTTGCTCCCAGCATTTTAGTCACCTCTTACAACACGCATGGCTTACGGAGGAAGAATTCAGTTCCACTTTCCCCATGGAGATAAGCAAACATAAACAACCACCCAGGGAGGTACTACCGTCCTGCCAAGTGAGTGTAAAACAAAAGCCTGTAATTGTTTTACATGATGGTAGGATTGCTGGTGTCTTTTTTTCTGTTTCATAACATGCAAGATTTCACATACATCATGCTGCTTCTACTTACACTTAGGTCATACTACACATACATGTACAAGCATATACAGTGGACCCTCGCCTAACGAACGCATCGCATGACGTTAAATTCGACTAACGATACATTTTAACGCTAACATTTTGCCTCGGCTAACGCTAAAAAAACTCGCCTAACGATATTCGTTCTCGGGTACCAATTAATATTGTTAGGTGAGGGTTCACTGTATATACACACCCCTCTGGGTTTCCTGCTATTTTCTTTCTAATTCTTGTTCATTTCCTCTTATCTCCATGGGGAAGTGGAACAGAATTCTTCTTCCGTAAGCCATGCGTGTTTGTAAGAGGCGACTAAAATGCCGGGAGCAAGGGGCTAGTAACCCCTTCTCCTGTGTAAATTACTAAATTTGAAAAGAGAAACTTTATTTTTCTTTATGGGCCACCCCGCCTCGGTGGGATACGACCGTTTCTTGAAAGAAGAAAGAAGTTCTTGTTCTTATTGCTTTTCCTTTTATATCCATGGGGAAGTGGAATAAGAATTTTTTCCTCTGTAAGCCATGCATGTTGTAAAAGTCAAAATAAAATGTCGGGAACAATGGGCTAGTAACCTCTTTTCCG